GGGGGGGCCCCTAGAATAATGTCTAGAGATTTGAGGCTTTAAATATGGGTTTCCTTTTCTGTGCCTTTTGATTTGCTTTACTCACCCTCTATTCCTTATTTACTTTTCCTAAGCTCTTTAGTTGTCAAGCTTTCCAAAAGTTTCCAGAAGTCAGTGCGCACTTTCTTTATAAAATCCCTTATTCAAAAGTATTCTTTATAAAATCCCTTATTCTTTAAGTTAGTTCTTTGTTCTTTGTCCATTGATTCATTCCCTTTTATTCTAATTAATATTCCAGATGTCTTCAAAGTTAGGTTTCTTAATTCCTTTTATTTTAATATTGCCAGAGTAGCTCCAGAGGTAGCTAGCTAAGGATTCCTTATTTAATTATCAATTGATTGATTTTCTTATATATTATATTGGAGGCCTTGGTTGTTGAGGGGGGGGGGGAGTTTATAAATCAAGAGTCAACATTAGTAATCAATGCAATTCAGCTAATCATAATAACAAGAGTGTCCATTCTCCCTGGAGAATGACTCATCTTTGCTCGGGGAAGTGTATACGACCGAAACTCCTCGTTGAGGCATTCTCAGGAATGGGCAACTACTTTGCCGCCATCGCCAGCTTCTTGCAAAACCTGTGCTGCAAGTGGTAATCTCGCCGGATGTCTCTGGCCGATTGCGTCAGCTTAAACAGTTGGCCAAGAGTTTATTCCTGTGTTCATCTTTCAAGCATGCATGACTTCTCTGGCAACAGCATGTTCTTTTTGCCTCTTGAGGTGAGCGGTCACAACTCCAGAGTCCAGAGCAAACCAACGCATGACAGAAAGCAAAGAACACAAAATTTCGAGTATGTTTGAAGCCAAGCTGAACATATTGGTTGCATCGTTTGCAGAAACTACTCACATGCCGCAGCAATCTCCAGCACTTTGTCAATCTGTCGAATGTCTTATTTGTGGTCCTGCCTCACTCCATTGGTAGAGATCGAAAATCTTCTCCTGCAAAGCACCATGACAAACATTGACTCTCCACCCTGCAAATGCTGCCAGTCAATCCCGAGAAAGGAAAGTACCCAATGTACCCGCTGAGTGAGTACCCAATTAGCAGGTCTTTGTCAAAGGCGTGCTTTCAACTTGTTCCTGACACAGCCTTTCTTCCACCTCATTCCCCTTTAGAATTGTATTGTATACAATGAAAAATAGAAAAAGAAAAAGCCTACGGACTCCACGGACTGGTGGATTGATGTGGATGATTTGATATTCTGTCGGTTGAGGTGCTGGAAACTATACTGTATGTGCACCGTCTAAGGTTCTTCGGTTGCACCTTCTCCAATTCTCGAAAGGTTTTCACCTCAGTCATCCGAACCCGATCGGGCGTTGGAGTCCCAACAGCTTCGAAGCTTCAATGTGCAAAGTCTCATGAGGCTACTTGCAAGAGCTGAGTAAGGCACAACTGGAAAGTCAAAGCACCTGAAGTTGCTCGTGCTGTTTGACCAAAACACTGGAAAACCAGTGTGAAAAATCAGAGACACAAAGACTAGACTTGCAAAAGCACAATGACCAGTCACTACACAGGCTTCAGCACTTCCTGTGCGCTTGACAGGGAAGCTTCTGGCATTGATGGGTTCATTAATTAGATCTGCAATCCTAACTTCTGTCGATTCCAAAGGAGAGTTTATTGTGAGGCGGGACCTTTAGGGCTCACCAACAGGACCTTTGTGAGACGCGTGATACATGAAGCTCGGAAGATCTGCTCTGTGGGTTCATCAAAGAAAGGGACGTGACAAAACAATACAAAAAATGCATATTTATTTATGAATGAACCGGCAAAGCATCAGAATCATTCAGAATTATGTAGATATGGATAAATCCGTGCATCATGTATCTGTTTATAAGTTGTTCGTACATTGTCTAGACTACATATGTATATAATGTATAATGTATACGTATACATATACTGGGTTATATACGTGTGCAACCCAGCAAGGATACCTTGCTGCGTTTAATGCCTCCCACGTGTCGGTTGTGAGCATAAATTTTCTATATACAGTATATCTCTCTACAACTTTACAAACCATCTTGAGCTCGAAGTCACATCCACAACAGAGAAGAAAGTCTGAGATCAAAAAGGCCTTGCAGTGGAAGTGGAAGAGGATGCCAATTAACCCAGTGGTGTCAAAAGAGACCAGCGGAAAGCTTTAGATAACTGGGAGATCAGTGTAAACAAAGAAGTAACCTCCATGTCTGAATTGCTCCTTACTTTCTGTCCCATCCAGGTCCACATCCCGTGTCCGCACCCAGAGCTCGACATAGGCGAGCCAGGCTCACTCCTCAAAGAATGCTCAGGTCGCTTGATCTTGCAGGGGATATTTGATATCGCCAAAATGTGTTTGAGTCATCTTCTCGAGGACATCACTGCCAAAGAATCTAAGGAACTCTAAGCTGGACCTCCATGATGCTATGCTATGTCTCAAAGGGCAGCGTGTCGGAGATGAAGGGAACACGTGCAAAATGAAGACTGGCCCTCCGTCTGGCCAAGCGGCGCAGTAAAGAATGCAGGGCTGGTACGTTGTCTGATCGTACGCCTCCACAGTTTGGAAGTTCGGAAAAGTTCCCCAATTGTTGAGAAACAAATCAACTAACAAAGCTTCCAAGATTGTCCAAGCACATGTTTTGAGAAGCAACTCCAAAATATAAATGCTTGTTGCAGTAAACTTTATTGGGTCACGTTTGAGGAGCTTCATCGCTTCCTGTCCAAGTCCAGATCTTCTCAGCATTGCACCGAAATACAACAAGCCTAGTATTAGGTCCACAATGGTCCACTACATACATATATATATATATATTTGGCCTGGCAAGCCGGCTGTCCCTGGGAAGGAGCGGGGAACAAAATGGAGCAGAACAGCCCTGTTGCCATTCCTCAGAGGTGCCCTCTTGGGACGGTGGACATGCGAGGGTGTTGCATACTTTCATTGACCCTGCTCTACATTCATACTACAGCGGAACATGCAACATGTACCATGCCAGTGCCATACCAGTAAAGGAGATCGAAAACTGGCTACCCCACTCACGTTCTTTTTGACCCCCTCAGTACCGTCTCGGAGGTTGACTTTCGCCTCTGACTTGTCAGGTGCTTGACTCTTGGAACTTGGAATGCAAGCTATAAACTGAAAAAGTAGTACTGCCGCCTTCCTGCAGTTGCATCAACAGAAAGGAAGCAGGAGTGAACTTCATATGTGTGTGTGTGTGGATTGATTTCCCGTCTCCGGACCTCTTGCAGAAACACTCCTACCGTGCATATTTCCTGGAACGCACATTTGCACTTTTGTCATCTCAAAATTATTTTCCTGGCCAAACCGATCTATTGTAACATCCGGATATGTTTGAGTTTGCCCAAAAAAATAACTTTTCACGTTTGAGGCCCAAGCATCTTCTCAGCGGCCACACCTAAGGCGACACAAACACAAGCCCATCCACCCCATTTACTACCGTATCCACATGATTGGTGTTCTCAAGCTACTGGCTCTCCGGGCAATTTGGAAGAAAAACAGTGCAAACATGGAGCTGTATATACATGGCTGGACATCATCTGAAGCTCTGAGGCTAACGGACTTCTTGACGGACTCTTCAGAACCTAGGTCATCCCAGCTGGGTTCTTTCCAACGAGCTTCCACGTGCAATGCAAATGGGCATGTCACAAACGCAACACAATCTTCGATTCTATCAGGCTTTTTCGCTGCTGCCGTCTGTCCGTTACACCGACTCCCCCACTCTCCTTCTTACACCCTCCCTTCTCATCTCAAACACAAGCAACTCCTATCAGTCAACCTGGCTGTTTCATGCTGTTGCATCTGGGTACATGATACGAGCATGTCAATGCAGTCAGTGACCTTCCCGAAGACTTGCCAACAAGCTGCCTTTGGAAACCTTTGTGACTGTGCTGTTGTTTGCTTGGAGCCGGGCCAGCCCAGAAGCCGCATATATTGGCCGCGCCTGCATGGAAGGAAGGAAAACCGGGCCAAAACACACAAGGGCATCTCTGGCCTGCTTCATGTTGGTTTCCATCAGTTGTACGAATGAGGAGCAGGAGTGGAGCACAAATCTGAAAGTGCAGTCGCACACGACTTTTGTCATGAGACTCAATTGACCAGATCATCAACATAATATTGAGGGTCGAGTTCGTCTCTATCGGACTCCGAGGATCCGTGATCCAGAGCTCCCTGGAAGTGCCACGCCTCCTGAAGGTCCCCATCAAGGCCACTCTGCATGCAACTGGCCTTGCATCCAACTTCAGTCGATGTCAACCATCCCTTTTGCAGGAGCAGCCAGGCTGCCACTGCCACCCCCTCTACCAAAAACAAGGTTTCACGTCCGTACGGGCCCCCCGTCTTCGTGTGGGCAGGCCCATACGAAATTGCGTTTCGAGCGCTTCAAAGGTCGAAAAAAAGTTGCGGCGGCCTTTTTCAGCCGTGGTCGGCACGCTCTCAGGTGTTTCGCGTGTGGTGGCGATACACCCACTGATACACTCTATTCCACAGCCGTGGGTTCACCAATCCTTTGGGCCGGTTCTTGCTTTGTGGCGGGATGAATTTCATCCACAACCACAGCCGATCTAGCTGATGGGTGCCAAAGATCATCTGCTTCGAGTTGACCATTGGCCCTCTTAGTCCATTGACTCTTCACATGCTTGGCGTGTTTCACAGTCAAGTGCTTCGAACGCAGCGGCCGACCATGCAAGTGCACCATCTGCACACAACAAAGAACCTGCTCGAACATTCCGAAGCAAGCCTGAGGTCACTATCTCAGCACATAAAAAAGTCTTTTACTTTTACACCGAGAATCGGGTCCTCCCGCGAACCAGCGGCCCGAGATGGTGTCTGCGGCGCGCTCTTGTCTGACATCCGGCTGCCAAACTCAAAAAAACAACGCCCGACAAACACGCGACTCGACGAAACCACGAACCGACGAAAACACGAAACAACCCAAACACGAACCGACGTCATTTGCCCCCCCCCCCACCCCCCCAACCCCCCCTGAATGACTGTTGGAACCCTGTCTGCTTCAAAAACGTGCAAATTCACGGGGGCCCGTATGGACGTGACACCAAAAACAACAGACCTTGGTCCTACAAGGTTTTGTCTAACAAATCCTCCCAGGGCCAGATCGCAGACCGAAACGCACTACCATGGGTTGTCCAAATGTTGCTTCTGGGCGAGATGCAATGGGGCGGCAACAGGTCCGCAGGTGGTGTATTGTCCTTGATTGACCCCAGGTGATTCTCGTCTCAACTGTAACAAAGCGTCCCGAGAGCCCAGCCAAGAGCAATGCCACCTTAGAGCTGCTTTGACAAATAACAAGTATATATTTATACTGTATCGTCCAAGAGGTTGGACGGGTCACGGGTCATGGCTTCTAGTGCACCTGGCTCCTAGTAGCGATGCCAGGAGCCCCTAGTAGCGTCCTTGCTCCTAGTAGCCATGCCTGGGCCATGCCAGGAGCCCCTAGTAGCGTCCTTCCTCCTAGTAGCGATGCCAGGAGCCCCTACTACCGTCCTTGCTCCTAGTAGCGATGCCAGGAGCCCCTAGTAGCGTCCTTGCTCCCCAGGAGCCCCTAGTAGCGTCCTTGCTCCTAGTAGCGATGCCAGGAGCCCCTTGCTCCTAGTACCGGTGCCGGCAGCCCCTAGTAGCGTCCTTGCTCCTAGTAGCGATGCCATAGCGTCCTTGCTGCTAGTAGCGATGCCAGGAGCCCCTAGTAGCGTCCTGGCTCCTAGCAGCGATGCCAGGAGCCCCTAGTAGCGTCCTTGCTCCTAGTAGCGATGCCACGAGCCCCTACTAGCGTCCTTGCTCCTAGCAGCGATGCCAGGAGCCCCTAGTAGCGTCCTTGCTCCTAGTAGCGATGCCAGGAGCCCCTAGTAGCG